TTTTTTTTTTTTTGGGGGGGGGGGGGGTGGCAGTACAGGGATCTGAACCTGTGACCTTGGGGTTATAAGGCTGTGCTCTAACCAACTGAGCTAACTGGCCAGCCCTCAAGATTTTAAAGAATTTTACATATCAGTATAGTATGAAAATCTTTGTTTTGTATTTATGAGGAGTTTTACATTTAAAGTGATATGTCTAAGATTATAGTGTTACTAGTGATTCCAGAAATCGACTTAAGCTTTTTAGAGCATCTCATTGCTGTCTAGTTAAATTATTTGCAATGAAGGAATTTTAAACCTTGCTTTATTTTACTTCATTTCTCCTTGCCCTTCTGAAAGAAAATAGCAATAAGGAGCAATATTAATAACCTTAATAAGCAAAATAAGTTGTTTAAAAGCCTCACTCTTCTAATACCCACAGTAACAGATGAACTAAAATAGGACTGTTGTTATTGATAACCTTTTCTGATATCTGAATTGTTTAAATGAGAAATATGCCCAGGGAATCATATTAGAAATAGGAATCAAAGTCATAATCAAATAGACACAGTTATTTCTCTCGCTTTAATAATGTGTTCTTTCCCTTAGGTCTTTTATGATAACATGATATTTCTAGCTTTCTTTTGAGCTTCTGGGCTTTTCTCAACTCCAAATTTCTCTCTAAAGGCCTGTTTTTATTCTGAAGTACTTTCTTTTTAAGTAAAGTAGTTTCTTCTTGGGGGAGCTAGCATCTTTTTATTAGATCTGTTTTTTTAATATAGCAGTACAGCAATATCACTCTGAATGAATCCTTTTACTCTGGCTTTTCTTATGCTATAAATATCATTCATGCTTCACTGTGTGGAAATCCAGGCTACAAAGCAGTACTCCTATATTCTGTGGTTACTTGTACATTTTAAATTCTTTTGTAACATTTGTACATTTCTTAAAAGAGGTAGTCTTTGTTTTAACATAAGGCAACACTTTGCAGTTATATTTGTTTGAAGTGGGAAATCAAGTTCAGCTGGGCAAACTAGGTAAAAATTGAAGACTATCATACCTAATCTTACCAGATGCTACCTACATTATTCACTTGGATTAAGATATTGAGGACTTATGTAAAAGGCAGACTTATCAGAAATGAATGGTGCCTGAGAGAATGTGACACAGGACAAATCTGTTTTTTTGGGAGGAGTGGGAAGGGAAAGGTGGAGAGAGGCATCCTGAACATGGGCTGCTGGTTTTGGAAGGATGCTATCACAAAGAAATGATAAATGTTTGTGATGATGGCTATGCTAATTAGCCTGATTTTATCATTACACATGTATACATGTATTGAAATATTGCTGTGTATCCCATAAATATATTTAGTTATTATGTGACAATTACAATATGAAATCTCACACACACACACACACACACACACACACACGAAGGATGCTGAATTAGAGGACTCCAGGCTTCCAGAGAGACTTGGAGTAAAAAAGCCACCTCAGAGTGGTGCTTCATTCCTCCTTGGATGTAATTTTATATAAAACATGAGGGAGGGACTGAGGTTGCAGCATTGGAACAAAACACAGCATTATATCCCTTTTTTTGGTTTGTTTTTTATTTTTGGCGGCTGGCCAAGGGGATACGAACCCTTGACCTTGGTGTTATAACACTGTGCTCTAACCGACTGAGCCAACTGGCCCGCCTCTTGTTTGCTCATTTAAACATATATTTAGAACTGTACGTTGCCAAAAAGTTTCCTTTCCTTTTTTATTCTGTAGTTAACTCAGGGTTTTTTTTTTACTGATTTGTAGAGCAGTTCAAATCCTAAGTGCTCGAGTGCTTAGAAATCCCCTTTAGTGTTTGGTTGGACAAGGAAATCACAAGAAAATGAAAATGCAAAAACTGAACTTAAAGGGTCATTCTGTGCCTTCCAGCATCTTGTATAGCAAACCCTGACTTGTGTCTTTTTACCCTCAAAATATGTTTTCAGTAGTGATTGAATCTGCCACTATCAAAATAAGTTACTTGCATTTATTCCAAATTAAACAAAACAAGACAAAAAATATGAGGGAGAAGCAGTTTTTCCAAATTTGAAGTTATTTGAACAAACTGTCCTTAAAGTCTGCTTTGCTTTGTTTTGCAGTGATAACATTCAGCAATATCTGATGACCAATAATGTACCAGAGGCAGCCTCTACTCTGGTGTCTATGGCAGAACTTGACATCAAGCTTCAGGAATCATCCTGTACTCATCTTCTTGGTTTCATGAGAGCCACAGTTAAATTCTGGCATAAAATTCTCAAGGACAAGCTTACAAGGTAGGGAATTTACCCATATTTCATGGTAATTGCTTTCAGATGGATACTTGGTGATACTGTACTTAAATATATGTTACTTTTCTGTTACAGTGATTTTGAGGAAATTTTAGCACAGCTTCATTGGCCATTCATTGCACCCCCTCAATCTCAACCTATTGGCTTAAGTCGATCTGCCAGTGCCCCTGAGATGTACAGTAACCTGGAGACACTGTTTTGTCAGCTTCTGAAACTACAAACCTCGTATCTTTTTCGGAGTTGAAAATTTGATAAAATTTCTTCTTTCTGGAATGAATTTGTGCCTACCAAACAGAACTGTTTGAAAGTGGCCAAGAAGCCGAATGCGAGTCCTGGGTTTGGACTTGATTTTTAAATGCCCATCGAGTGGTGGATTGTTCTCTTGCAGAGTGAATTGCTTGTGGGTGGGAGGGCTGTGAGGAAGAGTTCTGAGATATATGACTAACCCAAGTTTGCATCTCATATAGGTCTCATGGGACAATAGAACAAATGGGCAAACCATTTGTTTGGGAGGAAACCATAGTAATGCAGTGTTAATTTAATCATATGTGTTAATTTAATCAAATGATTACTTGAATTTATTTCCCTACTATTCTTTTAGAGAAGATTTACAGATTAATTCTAATAACATTTTTGTGTATTTTTTACTGAATTCATATTTAATGTAAACTTAGATTACATATTATTTGTATTGTAATTAACTTTACTTAGTATCCAATACATTTGTTGGAAAAATTTATTGTGTGTATGTGTGTATACAAACGCATGTGTATATATATAGAGAAATACATAGATGCTTTGGATCCTTTTTCCTTGACTTGACTATGTCAGAGATGAATTACTTACTGAGCCAAAACAACTCCCAGAAAAATACTGTCTTCCTGCATCCCCTTCTGTCATCCTGCCCATCCAGATTATGCTGACTCCCCTTCAGAAGAGGTTCAGGTATCACTTCAAAGGGAACCGGCAGACTAATGTTATAAGTAAGGTGTGCTTTGCCAATTTTTGTCCTTGGTTTTTATTAATAGCAAATGTTACAGTTTTCTGTACTTTTACTGGTTTAAGTAGAAACCATTTAGGTTTTTTTCTCTAAAGGGCTAAAGTCCTGTTTTGTCACTGCCCATTGTAGATATAACTGGGGACTTGGGTTGATATGTTGTGGGAATCAGTTTACTCATTAGCACATCATCTGACCAATTACTCCGGTGTGACTTTTGGTGTTCTGTAGCGTTTGCTGTGGCAGTTTTTACAACTGGTTCCACATGTATTTCACTGTACTCCTTCAGATTTATAAATATATTGGAAAGAGAACTGAATGTCAAAAGATAGTAGAGCATTAGCTTTTGAATACAGGTGCTGATGCTAAAACGATCTATAGCTGTGCAAGAAAGATTATGGGGATAAATGATGGGAATAGCTGTAAGGAAGTCATCACCAACATTTTAATTGAGGGATTTTACCAATGTATATTGGGTATATTTTTGATATCTTTCTTTGACCTGAGAAACAATTATAAGCATCTGTTTTCAATGAAATTTGATAGATTTTGTTGGGAATTATATTCTTGGGAATTGCTAGGGGGTGGGTACTATCTTATTTATCCTTGAGTTTTGTTACAGCTAATACAGTGCACCTAGCAGGGGATCAGTTAATATTTTCAATTAAATGTTATTAAGTGCCAGATTATACCAGGCATTGTATGTGCCATATATAAATGAATTTATAGGCTCTATAGGATTTTAAAAGAATCAAGGGATAGGCAGTTAGGTTTGCAAAGGAAGAAGCAGAGTGGCAAAGGATTTCTGGTTCTTTTGTTCTTTATGGGTCTTCTTTTTTGGATGGGGTGTTCATGGAAGGAAGAGTAAAACCACTTAGTAAGTAGTAAGTGAGACAAAACAGTAAACCTAAAGTTGTAGAGAGGCAGTAATAATTTGAGGTAAGCAAATTCTGAGTTAAGTTGACTGCTTTTTAAAGTGTGATCCCAATGGACCTAACACTCTGTCACCAAGCCTAAACTGTGCAGCCCTTGAGTTAAGGGGCTACCCTTATTCATTTTTGTATTCCCAGCATCTAGCACACAACAGGGATTTACCATTCAGTAAATGTTTTATGGGCTGGTGGGTTAGCTCACTTGGTTTGAGCATCGTGCTAATAACAACAAGGTCAAGGGTTTAGATCCCCATGCTGGCCAGGCGGCTGACACACACACACAAAAGTAAATGTTTTTTGCATCCCTGTACAACAAAACTTGAAATGTTTGTAGAGTCATCTCTGGGGGCAATTTAAAATGCTGCATACCTACATTTCCTTTTCTATAATTATACCTGTTTTAAGGCATTTGTAATTTTTGTAATGCAGACCAGCCAAATTTTTTTCTAATCTTTTGAAAAGAAAAAGCAGAAGAAAATACTGTTTGAGAATTATTTTGGAATGCTATCTCAAAAAACAATTTAAAGGCCATTAGTTCTTTGTAATACTTATCATTTTACATATTACTAAAGTGCTAAGTTTTAAATATAGATGACATTATTGACATAAGCCAATTATTATAATTTATTAGGAGTATGTTGGGAAACATTTGATTATTAAGCTTTGCATGAGTTTAAAATTCAGAGTAGAAATTGTGCTCTTATATATAGGAATTTTCAGCTAATTTTTTACATGTTGTATGTATACAATTAGATAGATCCATTTAATTGTAACTTTCTAGTTGTAATGACTTAAGAACTCAAACTGTTTTACTTCCTTCCTTAGCCTGAATGGTACTTGGCTCAGGTGCTTATGTGGATTGGAAATCATACTCAATTTCTGGATGAGAAGATTCAGCCAATATTAGACAAAGTAGGCTCTCCGGTAAATGCAAGGGTAAGAGACTCAGTCCTAAGCATTTCAGTTTTAGAGTTGTATATATACATGAATAACTTGTTATTTACATATCTCATATTTGTTTTTTCAGCTTGAATTTTCTCGGGGCCTCATGATGCTGGTTCTTGAGAAGTTAGCTTCTGATATTCCTTGTCTACTCTATGATGACAATCTCTTCTGTCATTTGGTGGATGAAGTGCTCTTGTTTGAGAGAGAGTTACACAGTGTTCATGGCTATCCTGGCATTTTTGCTAGTTGTATGCATATTCTGTCAGAGGAAACCTGTTTTCAGAGATGGTTGACTGTGGAGAGAAAATGTAAGTGCTAATGTGGCCATAGGGAAGGGAGAGATATCCTTTTGTGTGTGTATGTAAATTTTTGGTGTTTTTCTCCTTCAGTTCTGGGTAGGAACTAGAGCCAAATAAATTTTTCTTGGTCAAGGTTTTCCAAGTTGCATTCAGAGATAATCTTATTTTCTTTTCTTCCCATGAAACTTAAGTTTTTCCTGGAATTACACTCCACATGTTTCTAGAGTGGAATGAATATTCAAGCCAGTAGGGTGTGTAACTATTTTACAGATATTACTGTATAGTATTTCTGCTCTTGGTGGAATCTTTTTGGATATAACTTGTACAGTCAGCATAACTATTTTGAAGATTTGGGGTGGATAGAGTAAAGCATCTTTAACTCTAAAATAGAGCATGTTAAGTATAGTACAACTAGGGGGAGATTGTGGTTTGGCTTTTTTTGGTAGAAAAATCATCATTCTTAAGAAATTGTAAGTTGAAAAATTAGGAATGACTGTAACTACTTAATTGACATTATCCTTTTTTCTGTTATTAGTTGCTCTTCAAAAAATGGACTCAATGCTTTCATCGGAAGCTGCCTGGGTATCCCAGTATAAAGATATCACTGATGTGGATGAAATGAAAGTTCCAGACTGTGCAGAAACTTTCATGACTCTACTCTTGGTTATAACTGGTAAGTATAAGTCTTTTAAGATATGACTTTGTTTTAAAAGTACTTTTCTCACATGGTACTTTTTCAAGTTCAACATAATTAATATTATACAGTGGTTATTATAATATCTTCAAATTAAGTTTCTATTTTGGCAGTGATCTAGCACAATATTCTAATTTTTGGATTTTTAATAATTCAAGTAAGGACTTAAACATTGGGATACATGAACAAAAAATTCCTGACTTGTTACATAAAAACAATAAAATAAGAATTTAATTTTATTGCCTAAACTCTCTTGCTATGCAGCTTTTTAAGTGTCTTCAGTAAATGGTGATTGACCTAAATTTTAAATATTATTTTCTTAACCTTGGTTTATCAAAGATTGCAGGAGAGAATGAAATAATAGTTTTAAGGATTGGAGTAGTAATAGGAGCTCTTGTTACAGTGCAGGGATTTTCTGGCTGGAGGGTGGCTTAGCAGCCCCTGGTGCCGGGTGGCCTGTAGCGCACTGCCTCACTGTAGTCCTTTTAGTTCTCCAGGTGCCACTTGGCCCTCATTGCCACCATCCTCGGCTCTCTTCGCCTCTGTCCTCCTCTGGTCTGTTTCCTGGGCCTGTTCAGTAACCTGGAGAAGTGTCATTCCAGTCCAGTCAGTAAATAATTCCATATTCCTTACTGTAATAAAATAAGAAAAACACTAAAACAAAAAAAGTTAAGAAAAACTTGTGTGTCTTTTAAAAACATTTTATTAGGAAAATTCAAATGTGCACAAAAGTTAGGATAATATAATGAACTTTCAGGCACCGATTACCAAGGTTTAAAACAATTTTCACTTTCTGTTATGTATTTTTCTCCCCAGCTTTATTTTTTTATTTTTATTTTTTTTTGTCCTTTTTGAGACCGGCCGCACCGCGTTCAGTCAGTGAGCACACCGGTCATCCCTATATAGGATCCGAACCCGCAGCGGGAGCGCTGCTGCACTCCCAGCGCCGCACTCTCCCGAGTGCGCCACGGGCTCGGCCCTTCCTGGAGTATTTTAAAGAACATTTTAAACATCTTATCATGTTTTCTGTAAATTCTTAAGTATGTATGTTTTTTAATCTGAGTTCTTTATTCCTTTTTTAAAAAATGCCATGTTGAAGAAACGGAGTCATTTTTGTATATAATTTTCTCATGTGTCTTTTTTAAAAATCAAGGCATAATCTGCATGCAATAAAATGCTCAGATCTTAAATATACTGTTCAGTGAGTTTTGACAAATATGTATACTTATGAAATCTATATCCTTAGAGAGTTTAGAAATAGACCCATACTTGAATGGTTAATTGATTTTTGACAAAGGCACTGAAGCATGTCAGTAGGGAAAAACCTCTATGTCATGGACAGTACCAAAAACCTTCGTATGTCTTATTAACTTTCTCCACAGACAGGTATAAAAACCTTCCCACAGCTTCCCGAAAGCTGCAGTTCCTGGAGTTACAGAAGGATTTAGTAGATGATTTTAGGATAAGATTAACGCAGGTGATGAAAGAAGAGACTAGAGCTTCCCTTGGCTTTCGATACTGTGCAATTCTTAATGCTGTGAACTACATCTCAACAGTACTAGCAGACTGGGCTGACAATGTTGTAAGTTAATGTTCTTTTATATTAAGTAATGTATTTGTAGTTTGAACCATTTAACCTTTAAAAATGTTCAGTCAGTCTATTGCAAGCAAAAATATACATGTTAGAATCACAGTGATGCCAAACTTAGAAGGTGTGATTAAGTACACATTTTTCTTTATCAAATCTCAAATAGTTAAATAATTCTGATATTTTAGTTTACTCAATTACCGGAAAAGAAAGCAAACCTTTCAAGAAATAGTTGTTTATAGAATGAACCTTTTTCCTCTTTCGACTTTGTACTTGGGAAATATTCATGTATGGTAATTGCCATCACAGAAAAAGCTAAGATTGAATAATAGTGATGCCAAAATCAATAAATCCAGGACTTTGAGGAAAATAAAAGAAATGTCATTTGATACCTTTTGAATGTTTTCTAAACATGACAAATTATGAAGAATCAAAAATAGAGGGCTGGCCAGTTAGCTCAGTTGGTTAGAGCATGGTACTGATAACACCAAAGTCCGGGGTTCAATCCCTATACTGACCAGCTGCCAAAGAAAACCACAGCATTTTTAAAGTTTTAATTGTTTCATACATTAAAAAATTATTTAACATTTTGTGTATTTTATTTTGAACTATATACAAGAGTAAATAGATTAGGGAAGTGAACTCCTGTGTGCTTCTTACAGCTTCTTACACCAATTTTGTTTCATTTAAACCTCCCCCCCCCCCACTTGATTATTTTGAAGCAGATTTCAGATATTATTTTATGGTAAATATTTTAGTATGTATATAAAAGATAGGAACTCCTTTTATTTATTTATTTATTTTTGGCAGCTGGCCAGTATGGTGATCAGAACACTTGACCTTGGTGTTAAAAGCATCATGTTTTCCCAAGTGAGCTAAGTGGCCAGCCCAGGAACTCCTGTTTTAGAAAACATAAGCACTGCCATGATAAACCCCCCCCCCCCCCCCACTTGATTATTTTGAAGCAGATTTCAGATATTATTTTATGGTAAATATTTTAGTATGTATATAAAAGATAGGAACTCCTTTTATTTATTTATTTATTTTTGGCAGCTGGCCAGTATGGTGATCAGAACACTTGACCTTGGTGTTAAAAGCATCATGTTTTCCCAAGTGAGCTAAGTGGCCAGCCCAGGAACTCCTGTTTTAGAAAACATAAGCACTGCCATGATCACATCTAAACATTAACTAATTTCTTATGTTAAAAGATATAATTTAAATAAATGTAAAAATCAAAATGGTTCCAGTTAACAAGTACTATGAGGCCTTTTCCCTGTAAGGATTCTACTGATCCTTTCCTTCTCCATGCAGATTCTATGTGTTGACAGGTTTGATCTGCCTGACTGTAATTATTAAGTAGTAATTTATTTTTACTCATTTTATTAATCTGAGTAATTTATTGGCTATCAGGTCTTTTGGTAGCCAGATTTTCTAATACGTACTTCCAACCAAAAGTGAAGAAACCTAATTAGCCTTTATAGCCTTGGCAGAGAGAGACAGATTAATTCCTTTAGATATTTTAGGTATTAAAATGATCTCAGAGGGCCTCTGGGACCTCCTTCTTGGACAAGGTGCCTTCAGGTGAGGAATCATTATTCTAAGACCATCTATGAGGATACAGAAATTAGCTTGGGTTTACACCAGTGTGTCCCATAAAGTAGATTTCATGACAGAAAACATCAACAGTGAACTAGGGATGACCTTAAAGTGTGAAAAATATATATTAAATGGTAAAAAAACTAACTATGCTGAATAAATAGGATAATAAATATGAAGATACATTATAAATGTAAAGTATTGTATAATTGTCATAAATGAAAATAGACAGGAAAGTGCAACAACAAAATAACTATAATTTTTACTAAAGACTTAAAAATACCACTCTTAATATGTGATAGGTAATATGGAAATTAAAAAATTATAGAGTTAAGTAATTAGAAAGATTGATTAACTGAGGATTGGTGGTAAATTCACAGTATACTAGGAAAAAACAAAATTTTCAAGATGATTCACGAAGATGGACAAGGTAAATTAAAATGTCTCTACAGTATCAAATCTTAAAGCAATAAAATGAAAAATAGAAGCAGAAATGAAATACACTCAAACATGAACATTTAAAAATATTCAATGCCTGGGCCGGCCTGGTGGCGCACTGCTGCAGTGCGCCACTTGGGAAGCATGGTGGCGCTCCCTCCGGGGGTTCGGATCCCACATACAGACCGGTTCCCCCTCACTGGCTGAGCGAGGTGCGGGTGCAGCGCAGAGTGTTGCGATCCCGTTGCCGGTCCCGGTCCGGTACGGGTGCGACACTGAGGGTTGCGATCCGTTGCCGGACATGAAAAAAAAAAAATAAATAAAAATAAAAATATTCAATGCCTAGATTAGGAAGGAAGTCTAGAAAACATGACAAGAATTATTTTAAATTATGAATTTAAGATAAAAAATTATAGTATACTGCTAATACATTATTTAGTGCATTTTGTTCTATGTCAAACAAAAAATTATAGTATACTGCTAAAGCATTATATAGAGAAAATGTATTTCTCATAATACCTATTTTACTGAAAGAAAAAGCAAAAATATTTATCTTAAATATGTAATAATAAGCCAAAATAAATAGGAAACAAAAATAAATATACTAATAACAGATATAAACAAGATAAAAACCTGATAAACAGAATCCTAGTTTATTCTTATCTGGACCCTCCAGCTGGGACTTAGTAATTATTACAGCTTTTTTTCTATAAAAATGTTCACTGAAATCCATGTACGCAATGTCATTCTGCTGAACAAAGAAAATAAAATAATTGTTTCATAAAATGAATATAATATGGAGTGTAATGATCAATGCGTTTATCTTCCTAAGTAAACTAATCAGTATAGATTAATTCATTTTGTACTTTTATGTGTCACGTTTCTAATTTTAGTAAGTACTTTATTCTCTCAGCCCCCACAGTGGTCCATTTTCTGCTAAGCTTTTTCAGTAGTATGAAACAAATTGTTCTTTATATTTGTGCTAGATGATCTAATGACGGACTCATTCAGGGCCAGATTTTTAGCTTCATTGAAATTACTCGTGGAGCATCATTAACTGCTTTCCTTGGTGCAGTAGTCTGTTAACAAAGATGAATTAGCCATCATTCCTTCTCCTAGAAAACTTATAATCTAATGCTGAATTAACTGGGTTCTTCTGTCTACAGAGAAATGACTAAATTTCAGAGTAGACTCTTCAGATGAATTGCACTCTTTGTAGGTGACAGAAACCCAATTCAAACTTGCCTAAGTTGGGGACTGAGGTGGGGTGGAAGGCAGTGAGGAGTTTGTTTGTGTAACTGAAAGGGTTAGGCGTGGCTGCTCTAAAGTTTGTTTCTGGTTTCATTCTCAGGCAGACTCTGGTCATGTGGCCATAGGTGGCTCCAGGCTCACATGGTCCATCTGCAATCTTGAAAGGGCAGTACTTCTTCCCTGATAGTTTCAGCAGAAATACCAAAATGGCCTCTCACATGTCCATCCCTGAACAACGAGTGGTGTGGCCAAGGCATGGTATTATCAAGTTATGTGTGCATCCCTGGCACCAAAGGGTAGGGCTAGCACCACCTGAGTCAGGTCGTCTCAGAGTGGAGAAGAGGTAGTTCCCCAAAGGAAAATTGGGTACGGTTATCAAAAGAAGGAGAAAAAATGCTGGTCAGTTGAAAGCAGCTGATGGTCATGACAATTGCCATGCAAAAAGATGTGGAGAGGGCCAGCCCGGTGGCGCACTGGAGAATGTGCCGCTTGGGAGCGCGGTGGCGCTCCCGCCGAGGGTTCGGATCCCATGTGGAGACCGGTTCCTGCTCACTGGCTGAGCGTGGTGCGGGCACAACACCGAGGGTTGCGATCCCGTTGCCGGTCCCCGGTACGGGCGCGACACCGAGGGTTGTGATCCCGTTACCAGTCAGTAAAAAAGACAAAAAGGGAAAAAAAAAAAAAAAAGATGTGGAGAGAGAGTGTATGTGATGATCTAGGTTCGCGTGGGGTAGTCTAAATTTTAGTAGTAAATGTGTAAAAAACTTGGCCACCAGATTTGATATATTTTCTTCTTTATCCATGAAGTGTTTGGGAGAATTCTTTTTTTTTTTTTTTTTTTTTTTTTAAAGATGACCGGTAAGGGGATCTTAACCTCTGACTTGGTGTTGTCAGCACCACACTTTCCCGAGTGAGCTAACCCGCCATCCCTACATAGGGCTCTAAACCCGTGGCCTTGGTGTTATCAGCACCACACTCTCTGAAGTGAGCCCCGGGCTGGCCTGTTTGGTAGAATTCTAAATGGCTTTTGGTTTTTATTAATTTTTAATGAGTTTTTTTTTCAATAACTTTAAAACAAAAGCAACTGAAAATTCCTAAGGAAACATTCAAAGGGAAACCAAGCATTTGATGCCCTTAACATAACTTTTTATGACGTGTTTATTACTAAATGCTATTCAGAGTTTTATTTGAAAAAATAACCTTGACAAGATGATTTATTTAGTGTGCTATAATTGTATTTTGGGGAAATAAAATTTCAGAGCTTCCTAGTTAATCTTACTCTTAAATGCTTATTGATAGTGTCATTTACTGTAGACAGGAGGTGAAAGAGAAAATTTTTTTTACTATATGTAATCCATGTATGTGATACAAAATTAAAAGCCACAAAACTTTATGTAGTGAAAATTGGTCTTATTTCTAACTCTCTCTAAAGCCAATTACTTTTATCAGTTTCTTTTATATCTTATCAAAGTTATTTATATAAACACAGACGTATGTGTACATATGGTAACATACTTTGCAAACTCTTCTGCTTTGCTTTTTCCAATTAACAATATATCTTAACCTTATTCCTTTTCAGAACATAGAGTTGTCTAATTCTTTTTAACAATAAACTACAAAATATTCCATTGTATGGAAGTACCATAATTAACCAGTCCTCTATTAATGGACATTGAGGTTGTTTTTAATCTTTTGCTAATTATCCACAGCATTTATTTCCTGTAGGACAAAAACAATAATATTAATTTCACCTACAATACCACTATAAAAATGACATTTTAATTCTCTTAACTCTCATATACCACGTTTACTAAAAATCTCATTCTGTGTCTAGAAAAAATGAGTACTTAAAGAAGTATGTGAACCATCAGGAAAATGTGGTACTATTTCCCACAAAATAGGATGGCCATAATAAAAATGATAACAATTATTAGTGCAGATGTGGAGAAATTTGAGCCCTCATACATAACTGGTGGAATGTGAGATGATGCTGTTGCTGTGGAAAACAGTCTGGCAGTTCCTTAGACAGTTAAACATAGAATTACCATATGATCCAGCAATTCCACTCCTAAGTATATACCAAGAGAAATGAAAACATATGTCAACATAAAAACTTGTACACAAATGTTTGTAGCAGCATTATTCATAACAGACAAAAATTTGAAAAAACCCAATGTTCATCAGCTGATAAATATGTAAATGAAATGTGGTGTATCCATATAATGGAATAGTATTGGTAATGAAAAGAAATGAAGTACTGATGTATGTTACAACATGGATGGACATTGAAAACATTATCCTAAGTGAAAGAAGCCAGTCACAAAGAACCACACATTGTATGATTCCATTTATATGAAATATGCAGAATAGGAAAATCCTATTTGCCCATGACAGAAAGTAGATTTGTAGTTGCCTAGGGCTGGGTGGAAGGGGGAGGGTATTGAGGGATGAAGGTTAAGAGTGAGGGTTCTTGGGGCGGGGGGGTGATGAAAATGTTCTAAAATTGTGGTGGTAGATGCACAACTCTGAATATACTAAAAGCCATTGGATTGTACACTTTAAATGGATATGGTATATGAATTCTATTTCAAACTGTTTTTTTTTAAAGTATATTAATAAACATGTTACCACATTTTTGCTTTCAGTTCTTTCTACAACTTCAACAGGCAGCATTGGAGGTCTTTGCAGAGAATAATACTCTCAGTAAATTGCAGCTGGGACAGCTAGCCTCTATGGAGAGCTCTGTCTTTGATGACATGATTAATCTCTTAGAGCGTTTAAAGCATGACATGTTGACTCGTCAAGTAGACCATGTTTTTAGAGAAGTTAAAGATGCTGCAAAATTGTATAAAAAAGAAAGGTATGTCTTCTGTATAAGTCAACTCTTAACACCAGTCTAATAAAAGTTAAAAGATGGTGCAGGCAATCCGCCTTCCAGGGTGCGTAGGTAAAACAGGGTTTGGCCTTTTGTATTACAAACTTTAACTATTTTTGATGGAAATATTTCTAAAATATGTTTTTTCGGACATTCTTAATCAGAATAAACTGATTATAATTTAGCCTTCAGCTCTTTGTAAATATGGAAAGCTGGTACATAATCTGGAGTTTAATAGCCATTTCAAAAAGTGAGGTGCTTCTGCAGTACCTGTGTAGGCTTGCATTGTACAATTTATTCCACTACCCTAATTCCTTGTAGACATCTGTTACGTCCACTAGAATGTGAGCTCCTTGAGAGCAGGCAATATCTATTTGTCCTAGTACAGTCCCTGCCACACACAGTGCTTACCATCAATTTGGAAGTTTTATTACTCCCCATTGTTTTTACTGAAAATTAAAGCATAAAATTAACTGTTTTATATCAGTAAGTAATATATTAAAATTTGGGGATTTAAAAAAATATCATCCTCATATTAAATAAAGAGTATTTAATTGAGAGTTACAGTATAAATATAGGTACATTTATTTTCTGATAGAGCTTTTAATATTGGGCTGTACATTTTTTTCTTATCCAGAATGTCCCAGGACAGTGCACTTCCCCAAACTTAAAATGATTTGTTAAAACTTTAAAAATAAAAAGTGGTGAAAAATTTTATGGTAAAAATTAATGTGTTTTTTTCCAGGTGGTTGTCCTTGCCATCTCAGTCAGAGCAGGCAGTAATGTCCCTGTCTAGTTCGGCTTGCCCCTTATTGCTTACATTACGAGACCGTTTACTTCAATTGGAGCAGCAGCTTTGTTTCTCCTTATTTAAAATTTTCTGGCAAATGCTTGTAGAGAATCTGGATATATATATCTACCAAGAAGTAAGTAAGAGTAGACTATATTTTTGGACTGTGATAATAAAGGCAACTGTTACATGAATTATTCTTTGTTTCAGATAATTCTTGCTAATCACTTCAATGAAGGAGGAGCAGCCCAGTTACAGTTTGATATGACTCGGAATCTTTTCCCTTTGTTTTCTCACTACTGCAAGAGACCAGAAAATTATTTTAAACAGTAAGCACAATATTTAACAATATTGATGTATCAAGTTAGATACATCAATTGATGTTAGAGGAGGTTTATTCCTTTTTAACAACTTTAGGCTTCCAGTGATTTTCAGTGGAATAAGGTCAACTAAAATTTAAAAACATTCTACTGTATGTTTAGAGCACAGTGGGGAAACCAAATTAATACATAAGATGGGACCCATGACCTCATAAAGTTTACCAGAACTGAGTATAAATTATACGTTGGGCTTTATTTTCTAGCATTTGGTTTAATTCTCTATTTGCTTATTACTAGGGGAATAAATAAAAAATGAAAGCAAGTGCAGTTCTGCCTTATTTAGTAAAAATAAGAAATTAAAAATATGTTTAGTAACTATTAATAGGCCAAGCCTGAAGAAAATTTGTTTTCTTAAACATTTGCTATTAATTGTGGTTCTAAATGTAATTATAAATGTACATAAGAGTAGGGCTGGCCAGTTAGCTCAGTCGGTTAGAGCTCAGTGTTGATAACACCAAGATCAAGGGTTCAGATCCTTGTACTGGCCAGCTACCGAAAAAAAGATGTATGTAAGAATAATTCTTAGAAATATTTTCAGAATTTGTTGATTTAGTATTTAAGTTATATTGGATTTTGTGAGATTATATGTTATTCCTTTTAAATTTATTATAAAATGAAAGCTATGTTTGCTTCTTTCAGTAAGATATGCCTATTTCTGTTATGTTATTTTAGTATTCTACCTTTCTGTTGCTTTCATTTTATCCCTTAATTGTCTTTTTTCCCATATGCTAATCTCCCTAAAGTCATAGTTACATTTAATAGACTATTAGTATCAAGTATTATAGTTAGGGAAATAATGGATACATATTGAAAACAATGATCCTATTACCTTACAGTAATCTAATGAAATATAAACTCTGTGCACCTATGTAGTCATAACATGTTAAAAGAGCCAAATAATAAATCCATAAATAGTCTTTATAGGGGACAGTGGACTAGCAGTGCAGGGAAGCTGTTTAGTTTCTCAAAATGAAATTGTTAAAGATAACATAGATGATATAGGTAATGGAGATCTCATTTCCCTCCTTTTCCCATCCCTCTTCCCTAAACAGTATAAAGGAAGCCTGTATTGTTTTGAATTTGAACATCGGTTCTGCTCTACTCCTGAAAGACGTATTGCAGTCAGCTTCAGGGCAACTTCCTGCCACAGCAGCATTAAATGAAGTTGGAATTTACAAACTGGCTCAACAAGATGTTGAAATTCTACTTAATTTGAGGACAAACTGGCCTAACACTGGAAAATAATGCATCTTTCAGAAGAAGACTTTTTTGTTTTATGTTTTTGTTCTTAACAAAGAGGAAGCCAGGAGGATTTCAAGTTATATGATGAAGTTCTGAATTAATGAAACTGGACAACTGAAAACTTCATTAGAATCATTTATTATCTTGGACTTATGATGTTACTAAAATGATGACCATATTTCTTGAGTCCTCTTGTTCCTAAGAAATCAAGAGAAGAAATACAGAAAATATGAGAACTCAAAGTACTTCTATTTACAAATATAAATGTTGAATATGTCTTTCAAAGAAAATACAGGAGTAGAGATAATAAATTATAACCAACTTTCAATTTCCTTTGCTAATTTAGAGAAACTCTGTTATGGATAATCAAACACAGCCAGTAAGTTTTTGGGAATTCATTATATTTCCATAAGAAAGCACATTATGAGATGGTGAATAAGGTAGGATTATTCTTCATTTTCCACAAATGTCCTTCCATTTAAAATAATTCCTAGTTCCATTTTGTGTGACAGTGGGCAACCTTTTCTTTCTGGATGATGTTTCAGGCCAAAGCATTCTGCCTCAGTCTTTCCTCAGTGGTAGGGACTGTAATTAAACATTTTTGTTTAATGTTTATGTAACTAATGATGAGATGAAAATCTTAAACTTTCTTTTTTCTTCTGACTTGTCCTTGGCCTTGGGTTGTATTAAATAATGGTTTCTTAATTAATCTTCAGAGTAGAACTTTTTTAAACAAATAGACCTAGATTAGCTGGAGGCTTTCTATATCTATCAAATTTTATTCCAATTTTTTTTTTTCTGACTTAGCATTTAGTTAGTACTTTTATTTTTATTTATTTTTTTATCTGTATCAGCCACACAGAATTAGTTAGTACTTTTAATGCTGTAACATCTCAAATCTGAAATTATCAGGCTGACATGTAACCTATTGTATTGATTGATATACATTTACTTTGCAATAAATAATTTTGAAGAGATATTTTGAGATAAATTGTTACTCTGTATTTCGTACAGAGATTTTTCCAACCAGTGTGTTGAGCTCAAAGCTTTTCTTTTAGTTCTCTGAGCAGTTTGGGACTTCTCACCACTTTCCTTGAGAATTGTTGTGGTTTCCCAATGAGAAAAGAAGGAGGCTCCCTCTGGAACTTCCTCTCTAACGCCAGCATTTTCCCCGTCCTCTCCCCAGGCTTAAGGACTTTACTGTCAGCTCTCACAGTCCTCACTTTCTAGTCAGCTGAAAGTTTCAAGAGGATGAAATATTTCCCTCAAAAGGTAGAATCTGACTTCAAAATCACACCATGTTATTAAAATATCCGTCATTTAAAAATAAACTTACACTTCATCCCTAAATTTATCCAAAGTTATTATATGTCCGTCATCTTTTAAAACTTCATCTGCAGTACACAGACCCAGGGTTTTTAGGGCTGTAAAAATCAGAATGAAAAGAAATGAAAATTTACAAAGTGAGAATTATTTTCAGATAAAGTTGTGGAATAACCACAAACTATTACCTCAATTTGTAGAAGTTACTGACCTTCTTTATACTGCACAAATGATATGGTGCCTTTGCCTGCGGTATCCATCATCTCAAACATAGCCACAATGTTAGAGTTATCCATAAAGTAAGGAAAAGCTACGGATGTTAATTTGGCAATTCTCATACTTTCCAATATGGATATTAAGTATTCTCTCGGTTTTTCTGCAAAAGAATAATTCCAACTCTTTCTAATGTGAAATTAAAATATCTCACAAATGGAAGTAGTCACAACAATTATTAAACACCTGTGTTCAAGGTCCTATACTAGGCACTGGGGATATAGGCCTTGCTTTCTTGAAACTTACAATCCATCAGGAAAGGCATGACATTGAACAATTAATTACATATACACGTGCCCTACCTCAAATAATTAAATAGTTCAGAGACTGGACCTGGGCATTTTTTAAAAAAACTTTCCAGGTAATTCTAATTTGCAGACAGGGTTGCAAACCAAACAGAGAGAACTGCATGATGCAGGAAAGAAGGTGGCCAGCCGAAAGAAGAGATGGGGGTGCAGGTTAGCTCACTTGGGAGAGCATGGTGCTGGTAACACCAAGGTCATGGGTTCAGATCCCCATACTGGCTAGCTGCCAAAAATTAATAAAAGAAGGGATGATAAAAACAAAGACTCAGATAAATATAGTCTTCCAATTGAAAGATGTAAATGTTCATTTGTAACATGAAAGAGTTTTGGATCCACTTACCCCTCTTCCTGTATTATTTTGAAGAAAATCACAGCAATAATATTTCATTAATAAATATTTGAGTGTGTACCTCTAAAAAAGATAAGGACTCCTTTTTCTTTTTCACTTTACCGCAACACTATTATCAATACGGTTCTCACATCATAATTTTTTTTTTACTATCCTCAAGAAGTATTCAGATTTCCAATTGTCTCACAAATGGCATAAATTTTAAGTACTTTTTAATAATCAAGGACTGGCTGGTTAGCTCAGTTGGTAAGAGCTTGGTGTTATAAAACCCAGTTCAAGGGTTCAGATCCCTGTACCAACCATCTGCCAAAAAAAAAAAAAAAAAAAATCAGTATACAAACATGGTCCACACATTATGGCCAATCTTTTCATAGATTGTTTTTTATTTTTTAATTGAGTAAAAATTGTACATATGATATACAACATGATGTTTTGATATAATGTATATACATTGTGGAATGGCTAACTCAAGCTATTTAGCATATGCAGTACATCACATATTTATTATTTTTTTTGTGGTGAGAACACTTAAAATTTACTTTCCTAGTAATTTTTAAGTACATGCTGTATTGTTTTCAATTGTAGTCACTATGATGTACGACAGATCTCTTGAACTTATTCCTTTTGTCTAACCGAAATTTTGTGTCCTTTGACCAAACAACATCTCCCTAATCCCCATACCCCCCCAGCCTCCTGTAACCACCTTTTTACTCAGTTTCTATGAGTTTGACATTTTCAGATTCCACATATAATTGAGATCATGAGGTATTTGTCTTTCTGTGCCTGGCTTATTTCACTTAACATAATGTCTTCCAGGTTTACCCATGTTGTTGCAAAGGACAGGATTATCTTCTTTCTTTAAGGCTGAATAGTATTCCATTGTATATATAGGTCACATTTTCTTTATCCCTTGATTCTATATCTTGGCTGTTGTGATTAACACTATAATGAACATGGGAGTGCAGACATCTCTCCGACATACTGATTTCATTTCCTTTGGATATATACCCACTAGTGGGGTTGCTGGATCATATGGTAGTTCTATTTTTGATTTTTTGAGGAACCTCCATACCATTTTCCATAATGGTTGTATTAATTTACATTGCCACCAACAGTGTACAAATGTTCCTTTTTTTTGCATATCCTCGCCGATTCTTTTTATCTTTCATCTTTTTATAACCGTCATTCTAACATGTGTGAAGTGATATCTCATTGTGGTCTTTATTTGCATTTCTCTGATTATTAGTGGCGTTGAACATTTTTTTCATATACCTGTTGGCCATTTGTATGTCTTTTTTTTTTGAGAAATGTCTATTCAGGTCCTTTACCCATTTTTGAAATCAGGTTATTTGTTTTCTTACTATTGAGTTGAGTTCCTTATATATTTTGGATATTAACCTCTTTTCAGATGTATGGTTTGAAAATAAATTCTCCCATTCCATAGGTTGTCTCTTCACTCAGGCTATATTTTTAAGTCTCTTATTCTATAGGTTTCCCCTCCGTCTTTCTCACTACTGGAATTTATGTGTTGAAACAAGAAGTAGACTTTAAAATATAATATAGTGTCTTATTTTACAAATTTTAATAGACTATAGAAACAAATAGGCTACCATGTATGAAGTCTGTTGATTCTTCCTGAGTTATATATCAAGTTTGGAACCAGAAAAAGGTCAGGTTCGGGGGCCGGCCCGGTGGCACACTGGAGAGTGCGCCACTTGGGAGCGCGGCGGCACTCCCGCCGAGGGTTCGGATCCCATGTGGAGACCGGTTCCCGCTCACTGGCTGAGCGCGGTGCGGGTGCAACACCAAGGGTTGCGATCCCGTTGCCAGTCCCTGGTACGGGCACGACACCAAGGGTTGCAATCCCGTTACCAGTCAGTAAAAAAGACAAAAAGGAAAAAAAAAAAAAGAAAAAGGTCAGGTTCGAATTTCAACTCATTACATTTCCTTTTAAGGCTAGAATAAGTAAATAATGCTAATAGAACTTTGTGTGCTACTTTGATGAAAATCTAAACCAGGCTTATTGCTGTATATCCTTTAGACTATATGTGATTCACACCCTGGTGAGTAATATAAAACATTTATATTAAGAAATGGGTGTATATGCAGAAAAATGAAACTTGTGAAATTTTAGGACAAAACAAGTGACTTCATAGAAACCTGTTATGTGACACTGAAAGTACAAGTCTCCTTTCCTCTGCCATTAGAAGGACTTGGGTGGGAAGTGAGAAGCACTGCATGTGTACTCTCTGTGCCAGCCAGACCCTTCTTTAGCTTTTCCACCTCCTCATCCTAGCTCAGTGTTTCCTCACCTGTGGCTTTCTCTCCCCGCCTTTGGAGCTTGTAAAGAGGTTTCAGAGTTCACATTATTAAAGGGATAACAGCATCTCAATTTTTTACATGATAATTATTTTATTAATATGGGACTATTCCAGCGCTCCCTTCCTTGTCCCCTTCTGCTAAAGAGAATTTTGTCTTTATCCACTTAGATTCTCTTCCCTACACCATGCCTTCTCTTTCTGTTTTTGCTGGATGGGTTCAAGGCTTTTTGTGCTGAAGGAAAATAAAGAATCCTTGAGATGCTAAATTGGTTGACATAATAAACAGCTGAGAGGAAAAGGCAAGCTAGGGAGCAGAAGACGGCAGAGCTGGATGGGCTGATTGTTGTAGATTTGGAACCTGGCAGGCTCTGCAGCTGCTCTGGGTAATAGAGTTGGGAGAGGAGGAAGGGGCTTTTGAGTGAATTTGCTGTGGATTATAGTTAGAGTCTCATCTTAGATTCCTTTCTAATTACTCTTGATTGCTGTAATGACTGTGCTTCTTTGAGTGCAATTTCGTGTTGGGACTGAGATGGCCATATGAGGGCCTGTCTTATAGATATATAAGAAAGCATATGTTATATGCATTATATAAGTTATATAATTCATGGCAGTATATGTTATAAAATATATTTTATAATATTTATTATAATACATATTTATATATCATATATTACATATATTTTCTCTTAAAAATAGAACTGCTTGAGAGCCTCAAAGAGTGTATATCAGACAACTAATGCAGGTCAGATAAGTGGGCTCATGTGACTCAGAAAAGTCAGTTTTTCTTCAGTTGCCCCATTGACTGCCATGGTGTTTCTGTTATTCATATAATGTTTAAGATACCCATAATTAGGATGATCAAATGTCCCAGTCTTCCTGGGACAGTCCTAGTTTGCTATGTTGTCCTGGCATAATTATTAATAGCACCTACTTTCACTCAAAATATCCCCAGTTTGGATGATAAATCTTATGATCATCTTACCCATACAGAACCATTAGTGAAGACGGGAAATGTAAGGGACAACAATGTTCAAGTGTAAGTTAATGAGGAGCATCAAGATAACAATTTGGTAAGTTCTTAACATAATCTTCAGCAGATTCATAAATTGCATTTTTCTGATCAAAATGATCGTATAGTATGTCAACATATAAAGAAAATTAGGGAATCAGGTCAAGATTTCCAATATCTAACTAATAATTCCAGAAAATAAGGAAAGAAAAATATTTCCTAGATCTGAAAGGAAAATGTCTGCAAATTATAAAAGACCACAAAGTACCTCGCACAACAACAACAAAACCACTCCAAGGCATAAAAATATTTAGAATTCCAGCAATAAGATAAAAAGACAATCCTATAATATTTCCAGAAAGAAAAAAACATATTTCCTACACAGATGAAGAATGTGATGCCATATGACAT